AAACAAAAAAGCCACATTTTTAAATATACCATTCTTTCATCTCCCTGTGCGTCATCAGTTTCATGTGCACTCAACTGCCTGATGTTGTATTTCAGATCTATGCTGCTTGTTTAATTTGTTCTGCATGTTTTATTTTGGATTGTTACTATTGTTCTGTCCCAAGATCACTGATCTTCTGTATTATCTAATTTGCAGTAAATCCTACCTGATGTGTGTAGGGATTTTTTAATTTCTGATACTGTATTTATCTTTTGTAGTTCCATTAGAATATTTTTTTTAAAACTCCTGGTTTCCTCCCTCATCTTATGTTTCCCTTTATATCTTTGATATATCTTAAACATATTTATAAGACTTATAATATTGCTTATAAGGTCCTTGTCTGCTAATTTCATCATCTCTGTCATCTATGAGACATGAGACTGTTTCTGTTCACTAGCTTCTCATTATGGATCATATTTTTCTGCTTCTTTGCTTACTGTAATTTTTAGATGATGGATATTGTGAATTTTACAATGTTGAGTGTTGACTATTACTGTAATCCTTTAATGATTACAACATTAAATAATAAGAAGTCTGTCATCACTCTTATTATTGTTCTTCTGAATGTAATATGTACTTTTCTTTGGCTGCTTTTAAGACCTGAGTGTCATGTTTACTTTTCATCAGTTTGACTATGATATGCCTTGGCATAGCCCTTGTATTCCTGCTGCACTATATATAAAGAGACAAAACTTAGTTAATACCTCAAATACCTAAGAATCTGAGAATGGTTAATTGTTCATTGACATAATGGAATGGCATTGAATAAATATGTAGATTATGTTGGTATAAGATAAAGTATATAAGAGATAATGTTTAGTAAAACTTGGAACAAACCATTATATATAGTGAGATTTGAAAAATGAAAAATACTTGTATAAGAAACTTTGGTAGAGTTATGTAAGTTGTGTATTGAAGTATAACATTTCTTCTCTGAAAATCTGTTTTTATAATAGCTTTTGAAGTTGAAAATAGAGCTACCATACGATCCAGCAATTGCACTACTGGGTATTTACCCCAAAGATACAAATGTAGGGATCCGAAGGGGTATGTGCACCCCGATGTTTATAGCAGCAATGTCCACAATAGCCAAACTGTGGAAAGAGCCAAGATGTCCATCGACAGATGAATGGATAAAGAAGATGTGGTATATATATACGATGGCATATTATGCAGCCATCAAAAGGAATGAGATCTTGCCATTTGCAATGACGTGGATGGAACTGGAGGGTGTTATGCTGAACGAAATAAGTCAATCAGAGAAAGACATGTATCATATGACCTCACTGATATGAGGAATTCTTAATCTCAGGAAACAAACTGAGGGTTGCTGGAGTGGTGGGGGGTGGGAGGGATGGGGTAGCTGGGTGATAGACATTGGGGAGGGTATGTGCTATGGTGAGCGCTGTGAATTGTGCAAGACTGTTGAATCACAGATCTGTACCTCTGAAACAAATAATGCAATATATGTTAAGAAAAAAAAAATAAGAAGATAGCAGGAGGGGAAGAATGAAGGGGGGGAATTGGAAGGGGAGATGAACCATGAGAGACGATGGACTCTGAAAAACAAACTGAGGGTTCTAGAAGGGAGGGGGGTGGGAGGATGGGTTAGCCTGGTGATGGGTATTATAGAGGGCATGTACTGCATGGAGGACTGGGTGTTATGCACAAACAATGAATCATGGAACACTACATCTAAAACTAATGATGTAATGTATGGTGATTAAGATAACAATAAAAAAATTAAAAAAAATAATAGCCTTTGAGATGTAATTCACATATCATAAAATTCTCCCATGCAAAGTGTACACTTAAAGTATACAATTCTAATGGTTTTTAACATATTCATAGTTATGCAAACATCACAATTAATTTTAGTAAAATGTCATCACCCCAACAAGAAACTCCATACCTTTTAAGCAGCCACTTCCCATTTTCCCCAATGTCGCCCAGTCTTCAATAACCACTGTTCAACTTTCTCTATGGTTTTTGCCTCTTCTGGACATTCTATGTAAATGGAATCATATAGTATCTGGTGTTTTCTTACTGGCTTTTTTCACGCTTAGCATAATGTTTTTTTTTTTTTTTTATATGACAGAGAGAGACACAGCGAGAGAGGGAACACAAGCAGGGGGAGTGGAGGAGGGAGAAGCAGGCTTCCTGCAGAGCAGGGAGTCCGATGCGGGGCTCGATCCCAGGACCCTGGGATCATGACCTAAGCCGAAGGCAGACGCTTAACCATCTGAGCCACCCAGGTGCCCCTTAGCATAATGTTTTCAATGTTTATCCATGTTGTAGCATGTATAGATACTTTATTTCTTTTTATCATTAAATTATATTCAGTGTTATCAGTTTTATATCAATTAATATTATAATAAATAGCATTATATATAAAGACTTTGAAGATAATTTCCTAAAATGGAGTTAGTAGATCAAAGAAAATGAACCTTTTTTCATGTTCTATTTTCATCTAACTTATCTATATACTTCAAAAGATTATGTAAATAATGTGAATTTACTTTAATTTCCTGAAAATGAAAATAAGCATTAAAGAGAAAATCCTTTTGACCACTGCTCTCTCCCACTCCACTCCTCACTGCTTGGGCCATTATCCTGAGTTTGGTACATATCCTTCCAATTCATTTTTTAAAAGTCTGTCCTCTCCCTCTCTCTGTCCCTCTGTGTGTATGTGTGTGTGTGTGTGTTTATGTACATTTTAAAAATACTTTTAATTATATGTTATATGGAGGTTAATAATTCCATTGTGATGCCTGTAACAGAAATCCCTGTGTGCATTATTAGAACAAAAACTAATTATCACTTCTATCCTTTCCATCAATATTCATATCCTATAAATAAACCATAGTGTAATGGGAGATCTGAATCCCAATAATTGACTCTAACAGCCATCCTAATAATTCATTCCATGCCCTGAAGATAATAACATATTGTATTTCAGGAGGCTATTTTAATTTCAAGGAAGGTAAACAGGATTGATTTCAAGGGGCTTCAGATTCAGCATGGGACCAAAGCACTCAATTTGATTATAGATTTGATAATTAATTAACTCATTCTTAAACTCCAAAAGCAATACCTAATTACTGTATAATTGGAGTAGACGATTAAATTAGCCATTAAAATAATGGAACTTTGTGAACTAACTCAAATATTTAATAGGCATTGTGCTGATATTTGGTTGAGTATGAGAAAATATTTCTGATCAGTTAGTTTTGGAGGAGGCCTTTGGCAGTCAGGGTGACTGGTCAGGTTTAACAGGTTTCCTGGTTGCCTTACAAAAAAGCCAGGTGGCGGTGATTTGCTGCCCAAATCTCTTGATTTTTTTCTGGAAAGAAATGATTTCTCTTTATACAAAATCCCTGGCAGCAGCACATATCATTCATACTTTGTCATAGTTGAATCTGAATTGTCTCACGTTTCCTGGCACTTCTTTAAACTCTGAGGATTAACCAGAGGTAATCTGAGGGCAAAGGCCTTTTGGTTAATCTCTTGTGGACCTTCGTGACAGTTGATCTGCAAATCTTAAACTAGTTCATCAAAAACTAGGGGAAGGTTTGGATAAGACCCCATATCAAAACTAGTTTTGAATTTTCAAAAATCTAATTCACTCTAATTTAAAAATACTGTGCTGCCCTTTTAGATCATCCTGCCACTAAATCACCCATCCTACAATATTGTATCACCTTTTAGGAGAAAGCAGAGCTATTATTTTTTTCAAAGTTTGTTTTGACTTAGAATTTAGTAGGAATATCAGACAGATACTAGTTACAGCATTTACCGGTATTCCAGTCCCCTGCCCCACCTTTCACAGGAGACTCACTCTGTAAATGGAGTGGGACATTTACAAGTGAGTATTGAGTAGAAGCCCTGTGCTGGTGTAGTAATCACAGTAGCGGCTTGTTAGTGAGAAAAACCAAGATGTGCAGTGAGTCTAATTCATTTTGGATTTATTTTGGATGCTTAATGATCAGTGCAAAAGAACTCTGCCTGTTTTAGCCTAAAATTAGCATCCACAACCCCTTTTGCCTGACCTGTAACCTTAATTGTAAAAAAGAAAAAAGAACACCTACAGTATGTCAAATTCTAGATTTGGTGCTTTGTATCTTCCTGGAGGGTAGGTATGGTATTATTACCGTTCTTTAGATGAAGTTTGAAGGGGTCAGGAGGCTTGACCAAAGACTAACCAGCAACTGGGGCTTGGGGAGAGCCATTTTGAAATCTGACAGGCCTGCCACACCCCTTCTGGTCAGGGTCTAACCCAGAGCCGGAGTTAAACAGCGCGGGACAAATGGCGGGTTTCACTCCGCCAGCACTGCCGCCTCGGACATTCGGCCTGCAGGGGCAGCCTCCCCAAGGTCAAGGTCCTGCCCGGAAGAGCAGACGCTCCGCGAGGGCGGCGATCCACGTGCTGCAGGGCCCACGTCCTGCCCACCTTCCAAACCCCGCGCCGCCGGGGCCCTGGGCACTGTCAACTCACTACCACGCCCTCCTCTGCTCTGGAGGCGTTTAACTTACCCGGCCGGCCTGTTTCAGTCCCTGCCGGCTTTCCAGGGCGCAAAACGTGTGCACTGCGCTTGCCCCTGCGCGCACCTGAGAACTGCGTTAAAGCCTCGGTGTTTACTGCCCACCACGCCCCGCTCTCCCTTGGTGGCTCGCGAAGGGCGGCCCGCGGCAGCGCTCCGAGTGCGGTCGCCAGGGACCCCGCAGTCCCAAGGCCGGCTTTCCACCCCCGGATCGCGCGCGGAGGTGTCCTGGGGGGTGGGGCGGAGGAGGGGTGCAGGAGCGAGCCGGGGCGCACACCCGCGGGCCCCACGCCCCGGGCCGCCTCCGCGGGTGGGGGGGCGGCGAAGGCGAGGCGCGGCAGCCGCTGCAGGCGGGACTCGGGCTGCGGCCCCCCCCCGGCCGCCGCGGCTCCTCCCGCCGCCCCACCTCCTGCCCCAGGCTGCCCGCGCGGCCCGCCCCCGGTCGCCGCGCCGCCCGCAGGTGCAGCCGCGGCGGCCGCCGAGTAGGTGCGCGGGGATGATCTCACTCGCGCGCTCGGCGCCAGGAGGAGGAGGAGCGGGAGCCGACCCAACTTCCGGGTAGTGCCGCCGCACGCCGCCGGCATCTTGCTTTTCCTCCCCTCCCCCCGCTGCACCCCTCGCCTCTCCCTCCTCTCCTTTATTCCCGGCCCCACCTGCCAAAATGAACAGCTCGGACGAGGAGAAGCAGCTGCAGCTCATCACCAGTCTGAAGGAGCCAGGTAGGCGGGCGCGCGGCCGCCAGGTGCGGGCCGCCGCGGCCCGTGGGCGGGGACGACTCCCCGGCGCTGGGTTTGGGCTGCGGCGGGCGGGGGCATGTCGCGGCCGCCGCGCTCACCCCGGAGTCTCGTCCCCGGCGCGGGAGCGTCCTCCGCGCCCCGCGCGCCTTGGAGAGCCAGGGGCCGCGGGTAAAGTGCGGGTGCCGCGGGCGTGGGGCCCGGCGGTGCGGGAAGCGCACCCCGCAGGTTGCTTGAGCTGGCGATCGCGGGCAGGGGGAAGGGACCGGGATTTGGGGCGGACGAGGACCCAGGGCACCCCCTCACACGCGGGAGAAGCAGGTGCGCCAGATGTCTCGCGAGGAGGCGATTTGGGCAGCCCCGCCGGCCCTGCTCGTCGGCCGCGGCCCCACCCTTGCACAGTGGCGCTGGGAGGCCTGCCGCGCAGCTTCGCAGCCTTCCCTGCTTTTCAGTCGGCTTCGGTCTAGTTCCTCTTTCCTTCCCCAGCCAGATTCCAGGCCATGATGTGTTTTACCACTTAACCATTTTTAACAGTCTGTTAGTCAGTGAGCCAACACCCGATTTGGCTCTGGCCTGCAGGACTGCCAGGCCGTGGCCTTGCATTTCCACGCTGCCAGGTAACTGGAGATTATCTCCTCCTAAAGAACTGTTCTGATCATTGATTTTCATCTCTTACTGCACTTCTCAACAAAGCCAAATTAGCGATCAAATGTGAGTTCGACGCTCTTTCCATTTAAAATTACTGTTATCACCCTGGCCAAGGGTGGCCTGAGAATATGGGTCAAGAGAGAGGGGAACTGCACAGATTTAGGAAATAAAAATGTGTAGGAACATGTGCTTTTCTGAATCACTTGGTGACATGGCCACAGAGTGGAAGAGGTCCTGCTCTGTGGCTAATCCTGCTGTTCTCTTGCTCTCAACTTATCAACTCTGTGAACTTGGAAGAATCTCTTCCCTTCCATGGGTCTTGTGGTTATCATGCCTTACCTGACTAAAGACGGGCTGAACCAGATGATTTTATAAGGTCCTGTCCAGTACTATGACCTTTTGCTCCTGGAAAACACAAACATAGCATTTGCTGGGGTGTGTGGACTTCCCTGGAGTTGACACTCCTGGAAACAAATCTCAGCACGTTTACCAATCCTGTTACCTTGGGGAAATTATTACCTCACTGAAATGGACAGAGCACATTTCTTTGTGGTTTCTTTGTGGTATCTAGCATTTAGAAAGTGTTGGATAAATGTTAATGGCTTTTGCCTTCCCAGTACCTTCAACTCCCTTCCTAGACTAGACTAGCCATGGCATTGGAATTTTAGCGGATGTATTTCCTTGATTATGGGTATATCAAAGGCAATAGAACAGACTTTGAAATTTGTGTTTCTTAAAAGGTGCACTTTTTTTAAGTATTGAGTCTGGTTACACAAGTGTTGGGATTTTTTTCAGACCATCTCAAAACCAGGGCATTTATTTGTCATTGGATCATAGACTGTGATAATAATTGACTTATTTCAAGAGCATTTGATTGCTGTTTGACCCATGGAACCCAGAAGCTAGGGATTTGAGGTGGAAAGACAGGCAACTAGGTGTTTGGGCTCTTACCAATATGATAATTAATTTTGTAAGCTGATGGTGTATATGATTTATTTTTTATACTACCTGTTAACGTTGAAAATAATTCCACCACTCCTGTTAAATGTGGACAAGAAGAACCAATATTGATGAACACTCTATTTTTCCTTTTTCAACACTGACTAAAACATACTCATTTATTCCTTTAACAAATACTTAACCAGATATCTACCATATATGAACCCCATGTGGTAGGTACTCGGGTGGAGATAGTGAACCAGTCTTTGCTCCCCCCAAGTTTATTGCCTAGTAGACAGTCATGAATCAAATAGTCACACGGATGTGTACAATTACCAATTTTTTTTTTTTTTTAGGATAGATTCTTAGAAAGGGAATTGTTGGATCAGAGGGCCAGTAGACATAAAGTTTTGCCAGGCATTGCCAAAGTGCCCCCCAAAATGGCTGTACCAGTCCACATTCCCCCCAGCAGGGCCCATTTTCCCCCACACTTGTCAATGTTGACCAACAGCAGTCTTTACTAATTTTGGCAGTCTGACAAGTTTCTTAATTTTTGCCAATCCGATGAACAAAAGTACCTTTAGAAAAATGGTATTACCTGGTTCTCAGTGAGGTTTGAAATCTTTCTACGTGTTTATTGACCATGTAGGTTTCCTCATCTCATTTCTTCCTTAGTGAATTTTCAGTCAAAACTTGGAACCCAATCCCCAGGAGGGTGTTCAGAAAGAAGATTCCTATCTACTCTGAATGGCAGAGCTGACGGCAGCCTTCCCTAATGTGAAGCCTTCAGTGGTGTGGTGAATAAGGTTGCTTTTGACAAAAGTTGTGAAATGTAATGACGGAGTCTGTCATAATATGAACAATCTCTAATTTATACTTACCATTCCCTAAGCTCTATGTCTTATAAATCACACCCACTTCTGAATTACTTCAAAACATTGTATGTTCCCTTCTCGTGAATGGTATAATTAGCTATATTATGTCTTTCTAGAAAGTTATATTATGTCCCTTTAAAAAAATTAGCCAGCGTGTGATTGCTTATGTTCAAGCAGATGTTGAGGTAATGAGGTAATTCTCTTTTTGTCCTTTTTGGAGCTTTATTTTAGTGGACTGATTGATGTCTTTAATGCACTGACAAATGGCAACTTGGGGTACTATTTCCGATGCATATTTCCTAGCTACTAAAGTGGACATTTCCCTTACAAAACATCATACAATTTGCTCCCCCTCCAGAATGCTGCTGGGAAATGACTGACTTAGCTCAGCATTTGTTTAAGGTACATGATTTTCTTTGTAATGTATTCATTGCACATGCACTGAATATTCATAGCCAGGCACTGTGCTAGGCATCAGAGATAGAGTGATGAATAAAACCTTGTCCCTGCTGGTGGGGGGTTCCTAGTCTAGAGATGGTGGTAGGCATGTAAATTCCAGGAAGAGCGTCTAGGAGGCCTAGTTTGGGTCATGGGTTTAAGTCCTTTGGGCCGGGAAGGGCAGGGCACCTTGATTGGCAGCTCCCACAAAGACCAATGGATTGGAGCAGTTGTCCAAAAAAGCATGGCGCGCCACTACCAGAAGAGGGGATGCAGGCTGGGCAGACAGAGACAACAGCTGTCCACTGAACTGGTCAGCGTAGTAATGCCCTGTCATTTGGAACTTGATGAGGAAGTTTTGAAGGCAGTGATTGCCACCCAGCAGTGAGGATGCTATCATGTAAGACCAAAGCTACAACCGCCACACTGAAAACACTATCCTACGGTAAGATGATGGGTTTTGAAGCAAGGTAACCTCCTTTTATCTTCAGAGTTAGTTATCATTTTCCCCAAGACTATAGAGATAGTGCTTGAGGTTCATTTGCAAGTTTAGCCAGGCTTGTTCTTAGAGCGGAGTTAGTAATTAAAGAGGCTCCCAGTGTTCCCTTGACGGCTAGGCCAGAAAGTAGCTAGAGCATTATTTTGACAAAGGGGGCCAAACGACTGCCTACCACGGTGACCTTAGCAGTCTGGAAAAGCTGAAGCATTGTCAGTCTTGGATACATACAAAGTCAGTCAGTAGAAAGCAGTTTGGGATTAAATGGTTGCCATGTTGTCAAGTGCAAACTTGGCTTTGCATCGTTATTTTTCCAAGTGTGGTTTGGGGGCCACCGGTCTCTGAAAAACCGGGGTACATACGCACTTTCTTACCTATTATTTATAAAAAGAAGCCTGGTAAGTAAATCTTTCTTCATCTGGGTATATTTTTGTAAAATCGACATTTGCAACGTTTTGCTTTTACAACAAAGTATACTGTAGGTTGAGAAAAGTGCACGAACTATGAATGAACATCTCAAGGAATTATTGAAAAAAATGTTTCTAACAACACTTGAATCAGAACATCTCCAGAAACCCCTTCATAACCCCTGTAATCGTGATCGCCTGCCTTTCCCCAATATCTGTGTCACCAAGGTTTTGCCAGTTTCTGGAAGATAAGTAAATAGAATCGTGCGGGATGCAGTATTTGTTTCTGTCTTCTTTCACTCATGTTGTGTGAGATTTATCAGCAGTGTTGTGTGTAGTTGTAGTTGATTTATTTGCATTGCTGAAGAGTATTCCACTGTATGAATACGCCAAAGAAAGTTTTTTTTTTAAAGATTTTATTTATTTGACAGAGAGAGACACAGCGAGAGAGGGAACACAAGCAGGGGGAGTGGGAGAAGGAGAAGCAGGCTCCCCGCTGAGCAGGGAGCCTGATGTGAGGCTCCATCCCAGGACCCCGGGATCATGACCCAAGCCGAAGGCAGACACCCAACGACTGAGCCACCCAGGCACCCCGCCAAAGAAAGTTTTTAAGCGAATATACTGTAGACTAGAAGTCAGCAGGCTTACCCTGTAAATGGCCAGATAGTAAGTATTTTGGGCTTTGTGGGACACTTGGTGTTTGTTGCAAACCAACATACTGATTAAAAATGCAACTTCCTCCTAAAGTTTGTGAGCTCCTGCCCAAGAGACACCAACTGGGCAACGCTCCATGAGATGGACCCTCAGCATGGGCTGACGAACTACATCTTATAGTCAGAATTTTCCGATTCATCTAACACTTCCATTGGCTAGATAAATCTGACTTTTTTTTTTTAAATTAAATTTAAAAATAAACGTATGCTCATAGGAAAACAAGCATAGGAAGTGAAAAGTACAGTGAACTGTTCCCTCATTTCTTAATCTTTATTTCATTATACTCTCTTAGGGAGTCTTTTTAGACATTTTTTCCCCTAATTGTTCCTACTCCCCATGAAATTTTTTTTTAAAGATTTTGTTTATTTATTTGACAGAGAGAGAGCAAGCACAAGCAGGGGGAGTGGCAGAGGGAGAGGGAGATGCAGGCTTCCCCATGAAATTTTAATATTACGGATATACTGTATA